GTCTTTTTACTTCTGTGGAACATAAAGTGAAGAAATCCTGAAGAATGAATAAGTCCAAAACACTGACTTTCTCTAGACAAACGTGCTTTATTCCCACTAAAACAACACAGGAAAAAGTCAGTCGTAAAGGCTTATAAGGGCAAGTAAATGTTAATTTGTCATGTTAGGCTGCACCACAGTATCCCTTTAAAAAACTCATCTATCTTCACTACTATATAAATGATATATTGGCATTATTTGGGCATGGATGATATGGACAATATGGGTCAGGCATTTAGGCAAACCCCCTCTCTCGCTCGCGCTCTCTCTCTCTCCCTCTGTTATCTAAACCATTGTCTGGATCCAGTACTGACGATATCATTATTTAACTAACTAGGTCATCACTTCCCATTCACTCCCACAACATCTGGCTCTATTTGTAAAGTCCACTGAAGAAAACAACAAACAAAACTTAAGACCTTCGCCGAAGATCTCCATGCAGATAAGCCACCATTACAAAAGCTTGTTTTTGAAGCTGATACTGAATCTAGCACATATAAAAAGGTAGAAGGACAAAGCCCAAAACCAGTACTTCCAGTTAACAACAGTTGACGATTAAATGTACTTTGTTACTTATCATTTAGCTGATGAGTTTATCCAACATGACTGGCAAGTATCTAAGTAATCGGGATGTTCTCATGATAACATTTTCAGCTATTGACTTCTGTGTTTTGACAATACTGTTTTCAGACTTTTAACCTTTGCACATGCCTATTTTGGTCCATTTTGTTTGATCTTTTGTGTTCATTTGTGGTCAACAAATGTGTGTATTAGGGACAGCCGATAAACTAAACGATGCTGAGCCGGCATCGCGATCCTTCGCCCCGCCCCACATTTATATTGACATATAACTTATTATTTGCATGTCATCTTAACAGCAATAACGGTCTTTTCATGAGCTTTGTTCAATTTTAAATATAGCTGCCGCTTGCACGGCTGACAGCAACGTGATGATTAAATGAAGGATTATACAGCACCTCTCCCGCTTAAAATGTGTAGATTCAGTGGCAAACGCTGTTCCCTGCAAACCCCGTCCCACAGACTTTACAGTGAATGGCTTTAGTTTTTTTTACAGCGGACTTGAAGCCACTGGAAGTCTTTTATCCACTCTTGGAAAAGTGTAAATGGTGGATGAACATTCAACACATGATCGCTAATAAGATGCGCCATTATTAGTAACTGTAGGTGGTTTCTAAAACTAAATCTGTCAGTGTTATTTTCATTCATCTTCAGCGCTTCACATTTTTGCAGTTGTAGCTCCTGTCATCTGAAGGCAGAAGGCATTGACTGAGTGATTGACAGCTGATATTAACCAATCCATTTAGTTCTAGAGCGGTGGGCCAATTAGAAGAGCACAAAGGCGGGGCAAGCATTGCAGGCTTTTTTTTTTTTTCAGCAAGTTCACATAACAACTGTCTTAAACCGTTGCTGTTTAGTGTTTTTAGGTGCAAAGATGCATTCTGCATAAATGCCTCCTAAATCCGCACACGCGATGATGATTTTGCAGTGAAAACGTTTGCACTCGCCCAATTGCTTCCAAATTTATTTTTAGGTCGCATAGATAAAATTTCGGGAGCATATGCGACCAAAACGGTCGAGCCCTAGCATCTTTACTTGTTATTTTTTTCTAATAATAATAATAAATCAAGTCATCATTAATCACAATACAAATTACAGTGAACTCCAAACGAACTCTCGTCTCCTCCGTGAGCTGTGGGAAATTCGTTATGAATTAATTGATATTTAACAACCACCACCCCCACCTACGAAGACGATGTCATCATCCATCGCGATGTTTCACATTAGACATCGTAAGATGCCAAATTGTTCAACATCGCCCAACCTTAGTGTGTATAGTTGTTTTTTTTTTGGTTAAGCTTTTAATATTTATTTTCATAAATCTATTTTACTCAAGGAGAGTAAATACTGGGTAAAAATCAAGACCACCAGGACAAAAATATCCCCACTTGAACCCATTAAAATTGCAACATTTCAGTGCCATGCAAGGAAAAAGGCATACTTTTTTTATGAACAGGTCACCGTTTTGTGGTCAAGGATTCAAAATGTTAAAAAGGCCGCTGCTAAACATTAGTAAAATACTCAAATGTAGATAAAATACTGTAATTGTAGAAGATAAAATATATGCATATTGAGTCAAGACTGTTATTTTAAAATAAATTGAGTCAAATATATTGAGTCAAGTTAAGTCTTACTTGTTATTTGCAAGCATGCGCTTTTGATATTGTTTTATCATTCAGCTTTTGCCACAAATGGCATTTGTATACATTGTATATAGATACGTGAAAGCTGAGATTTCATGGCTTTTAAAACTGTGTGTGATTAAAGTCAACAAGCACGGCTAACGGCAAACTCTGTTTCTCTCGATTTTATTCATACAAAAGACTAAATTCTCATCTGCTGATAAGACCTCCAGAGAGGGGTATGCAAGAAAAAAAAAAGAAAAAAAATTGTGTGAGACTAATAACAGCAGCCAGAAGAGAGAACAATGTCAAATTTACTGTCCTGCCCCACAGACACTGCATTTGAAACCTCACATGAGTGATGATTCGTTTTGTTGTAATTTGATGCAAAGATGGTATAATACAGTGGTTCTCAAACTGTGGTACGTGTACCACTAGTGGTACGCTGGCTTCCTTCTAGTGGTACGCGGAGGAATGAAATATGTCATGTACATGCTACATAAATTTCAAAATTTATCAAAAATGATGTGAATATGCAATATATGACGTATAGCCTATATTTCAGAGGTAATCTGTCACGCTTTTTTTTCCTCTGCAGAGCTGTAGTTGCTTTACTGGACCTAATACGCTAATGTATTTCAATACTGCTCATTTTGGTGGTATTTGGAGAGACTATTTTTTCTGAGGTGGTACTTAATAAAAAAAGCTGGCGAACCACTGCTAAAATACATACTGTATGCAAATACATAAAAATGTACACGTGTACATGTTTTTTAACAGGGGTCACCAACCCTGTTTCTGGAGAGCTGAATTCCAGCAGATTTCAGTCCCAACCCTGATCAAACACACCTGAACCAATTAATAGTACCTAAAGCAGCACTTGATAATTACAAACAGGTGTGTTTGGTCAGGGTTGCAACTGAAATGTGCAAGAAGGTAGCTCTCCAGGAACAGGGTTGGTGAGCCCTGTTTTTTAATATTTACCTTTCGTTTATTTTCATAAATCTATTGAATCTAGGATCTAGGGTTGGGCGATATCAACCAATTTGGCATCATACAATGTCTAATGTGAAACATTGCGATGAACGATGATATCGTCGTCGTAGCTGCTGGTGGTGAATTAATTATGAATAATTCAATATTTCATAACAAATTAATTATTTGTAGCCTACCCTTTCAACTACCTGACCCGCATGGTTTTTGTTAGGCAAAGTGATCTGTGTCGTTATAATGATGTTGACAAACTTTTTTTGGTAAAAAAGATCCACAATCAACAGGAACTAACCAACAGTGTCTGAGGTTTTCGCTAAAATTACTAAGTACAAGCTTGAATGCGAAAGTCTGAAGCAGTGTACTGACGCTCTGACGTATGTGGCCGTGTGTATTTTTCGTGAGCGGGTTGCTGCTGCGACGAAGGCGGAGGATTGCAATGCCGACTCAGCATTGTGATGTCTACCGGCATTGACTATCGACCCAACCTACTCGACCCTACTAGGAAACCAAAAATACTGTCTAAAAATCAGCACCATCAGGACAAATATAACCCCATATAAATCCATTAAAATTACAATACTTCAGTGCCATGCAAGCAAAAAGACATACTTTTGTTGTCAACAGGTTGCCATTTTGCAGTCAAGGATTTAAAATGTTAATAAAAGAAGAAAAGTAATAAGAGTAATAAAAGAAAAACTCAACTACAGTGTTACCAAGACTTTCAGAAATAGGAAAAACAATATGTGAGACTGATAACGACTGCATTTGAAACACCTCGGATAAGTGGTAATTTGATGCAAAGATGAGATAATGCCCAACATAAATACACATAAATGTAAACGCATTTAAAAAAAATCAAAATATTAAAAACTTTTAAAGGATTTAATACGCTGATGACAGTTAAACACCATCATAACAGTCTTGTGGAAATGGTCTATTAACAGACAGGAACTGACGAATCAATCTCAGGTTATTACAGCACTTAACACATTATCTGGATTATACACCAGCACTAACAATAGGGTTCAGCCTCATACTGTAGATCCCTTGTCCCTCATGCCCCAAACCGATCAGCATCGCCCCTCCTGAGACCCACAGGCTGTCAATCGGCTCTCAAATGGAAAACGGCCTAAATCAATGGCCTGGAAAAACAAGTGCCAGCTAATTATAGGGAAAAGGGCAGCCAGTGGAAGAGAACATCAACACCTCACATTGGCCTCAATGTGACAATGTGATCTATATGGTCCATCCAGAGTGCAAAAAAAAAAAGAGAGAGGCTGGTCACAGGTTTTTGGCATGAAATGTGACATCAGAATCAAACAAACTCCAGCTAAACGTCCCATCCGAAATGCTCTGAGCTTTCAGTGTACTTATTATTCAAGCTGATTTCTTGGGTTCCTGCTATTATTAGCTACCTCTGAAATCCAAGTCCACTGAGGGTTCCTCCATCAGCTATTGCTATCCCATCATGCAGCGCTCTGAACAGAAGTCCCTTTGATTTTTAGTCTGCATCTTGCACTGATAAAAATGATTATGTCAACTAATGCCAAATTCAAGACGATAACTATGAGCATTTGATAAGTAGGCCATAAATACGAGCCGTGTAGGAAAACACGATTGCTATCTACATCTCTGGTTAATGTTTAATTGGCTTTAGATTGACAAAAGGGGGATTCCATACTTGCAATGCTTCCACTTTAAACCAATAAGCAGAGGAAGATTGAGAACAAGGTTTTTATAGCGTAGCAGATATGCTATTATTTTTACCTTTTGAAGGCTGGTAGGATTAAGTTGTGTCTTGTCAATAATTTTTATGGCCACCTGCAGAGAAAAAGAAGAGGAAAAATACATTTTAATGTCTTGTTCAAAGAGCTTGGAGAAGAAGCCAGTAAAAGAGCATGATGATTATATGTCTGCAGCTCAGCATCAGATTTTATAGCAATGTTGAGCTTTATAATCTACAGCAATGGAAAAAAAGCCCCACCAAAAATATTTTTTAAATAACATTCCATAGGCTGATTTTTAATCTTTCTTTAGGGTAAACAGTTGAGTTTTACCATTCTTAAATCCATACAGTCAATCTTATGGCCCGTTTCCAATGAGTAGTACGGTACGGTTCGGTGCGCTTTTATAGCCATTTCCACTGTTAAAAGGTACCTAAAACCACCGTACTGTACCACTTTATAGGTACCCTTTCGATAGGGTACCTAGCACAACAAAAGGGTACCAAAAGGCAGAGCTAGATGTGCAGCTGAACGCTATCAGTTTACAGAGATACGTCACTTATATAAAGTGTCCTTAACTACTATGTACTTACATCAAAAAATAAATACAATGTACTTACTGTGTTCCTAATGTATTTGAGAACACTTGTGGTGCTTTTGAGTTGGGATAGAGGTTGGGTTATGAACAGGTTTGGTGGTATGGGTAGGTTTAAGGGTGGGTTAAGGTGTAAGGGATGGTCAACAGTGTATTTACAAATGTAATTACAAAAGTTAATTACAGATGTATTTACATACATGTATTTAATTAAGCATAAGTACATAGTAAATACATGTATTTACACAATAAGTACATTGTAACAAACTATTTAATCCTATGTAAGTACATATTAGTTAAGGCCACTTAATATAAAGTGGGACCAAGACTTTTACACCGTAATAATATATACATATAATAACGAGCTACGGTCAACCCGAGCTTAAACAAACCTTGTTGTTGTCTTGATGAACAGCCACAAAGCCAAGAAGAAGAGCAGAATTAACCTTTGCCCCATAGTTGTTTACAAGACTAAGTCTAAAGCGCAAGCAGTTTCGATTTCTCGCTTGCGCTCGCCGCACGTCTATTTTTGAAATAACAAACTTCTTAAGCTGATGATTATTGAAGTGCTTCTGATATCTGATAATTTCAGAAACTAACAAACGCGAGTGAAGCACGAAAAAAAACAAAGGAAAAGCCCGAAAAAACAAAAAAGCAAATGATTCTTTCAGCAACCTAAAACATGAACAGTTATTATCATCGCCTTATGAACTCAGAATGACGGAATTACTTTCTAACAGAGGCTACATGTGCTGTTGAAGAATACAGAAACTGTAGAGATTTGCACTGACTGGGCTATGTTGAGTGTTATTTTAAACCGAAAAAACTAAATGTATGCTGTGTGTAGTTTTTCTGTAATTGGTAACAAGTGTATGGTAACATAACTGTATGTGTTCTGTAAGAATTGAAATATTGCAAATATTCTGATATCTTTGACAATTCAAAACATGAGCTGAAGACAGGGCCAATAGACTCCACAACCCACCAGGGGGGAATGCGTGAAAAACCAGTTCCTGCTGCATTTGCATCTGAAACTCAGCTTCATCCCCCCAACTCACGCATATGGTCATTTTAATGTTTGAATGTTTTAGATTAACCAAACTGACTTTAACTATCATGTTTGATATCATTTGAAATGTCTCAGTGCGATTGGTACAATGGTCTCATTCTCTCAGAAATAGACATAATCAGAACAATAAATATATAACTTCAGGCATCTTTTGAACCACTGTGAAGGGTGTGACTTTTTACACATACCCCCTTCCTTGAGGGAATTCTTGGATTATTTAAGGCAAGGTCTAAGAAAAACTCAGGGCGATTCTGCCTAACCAGATCAGCCCATAACATGGCTTGCGCCATGTTATGTATATTACAAAGTCAGGAATGCATCTTTTTCATCTTGGATTTATCTTTGATAATTTGATGTTTTGTATTGATCATTTATGAATTGACTGATTGAATTGGCATAATACATTTACCTGACTAATAAATTGTAATGTTTGACCATATTTTGCTCACTCTGTAATTATTAATTCAAGTAGATTACGCTGTCTCCTTGTTTCCGCACGTCTTGCGTCAGGTCAGTAGACGGACTAAAATCCAATTGAGATGGAGCATTGGCACACTAATTGTGTTTTAGCGATCCGGCTGACTCTTGATATTGATTCATGTGTACTTAGGTGGAAAGGGCGATAACTTCCGTCTAGGTCAACAAGGTGTTGCACGACTAACCTAGATTGGGTACCCGACCTTTGTTTGAAGGTAATATTATTCTAAATTAAGTTCATATGGGAAACCATGGGCTTGGTGAAAACCAAAGTTACTATAGAGTCCAGTAGTCGGGTACATTTATATTAATGCCCTAACCTCTAATTAGAAATGATGATTGTCTTAACTCAAAGGTGTACATCTAAGCGGGACAAACTAAAGTATTTTAGAACGAGCGCGCTGGTAGCGGCCATCTAAAGTATTAGTCAATTTACCTCTGTTTAATATTCAAGACTGACCGGAGTGTGACCGTGAGGGACGCCTTCGGCCGAGGCGATTTCTCTGAGCGACATGAGCACCCGAATGAACGGATGTCATAGTTACTAGTGAAGACTAACGGTTCAAACATTTATCTAAATTACATATTGATATAATCTTCTTAATGTTTTATAATTGGAGTCAGATAAAACGAGGATAAATATATTAATATTCTAAACCACCTCAAACTAAAATTGGAGTCAGATATGAGTTAAGTTTAATATAAATCAACATTGTGCACTGGAAAGACCGAACATGCAGTGAACCTTCATCCACCAGTGGACACCGGCATTGGGCCAGCTGGGTGGACCCTACAGTTCATATATGTTGCATTTATTTATTTATTAATTTCATATAATCGCAGACGTTACAGTAGGGTATTTCATTATTGATCTGCAGTTATAATCAACTCATGTTCATAGAAAGGTTAGTAATGAACATTTATGCACAAGAATTTATGTGTATGAAGCATCTGTTTTGTGATAAGTGCTTCTTATATGATTTGTGAACGACCCATACAGCATTACTGTAGACATTTCCTCGAGCGAGAATGACATTGACTGAAACTTTCTGTCGAACACCACAACCATCAAAAGGTTACCATTGGTACCCTTTTGGCAGTGAAAATGCAAGTCTGATAAAAGTGACCTGTACCAACCCGTACTGTACTCAGTGAAAACAGGCCATACGTGTCTGGCGGGAGCACTTCAATTAGCATAAATGACTGAATCAGATTAGACCATTAGCATCTTACCCAAAAATTAACAAAAAGATCATTTTCCTATTTAAGGCTTGAGTTGCTATTTTTTAGGCTGATATGGTTACAATACACCCTCATTCTGAAATAAAGTAACTTTACTTTGATCATGCACAGCGCCTAAAAATCTTGTAACAATGAAGATTATTCAATATTTTTTATGCACTACTTATTATCAAAAGTCAAGCTTTAAATAGGAAAATTATCAAAATTCTTTGGTCATTTTTAAGCGAGATGCTAATGGTCTAATCTGCTTCAATGATGTTAAGCTAAAAGTGCTCCAGCCAGAGCTAAAGATGAGCTGAATGGATTCAAAACTGGTAAAATGCAACTGTTTAACTCTAGAGAAGTAGTAAAATGAGCCTATTTAAAAAAAAAAAAAAACTGAGTGTTCCTTTAACTTTACATACGTTTTAGTTATAGTGATTGCAATTATGGAAGAAACTGTCCTTAATAAAAAAAAAAAAAAACCAACAACTTATTTTTATTTTAAGAATATATCAATTATCAGCCCAGTCTGCTGACAAATGGTACGGCAGCGCTTCGGGCATCTATCGTTCAAATCCTAGCCCCCTCTCTCGCTCCCACTTCACTTCCTGTCAACTTACTGTCCTGTCAAATAAAAGCACAAATAAATCTTTAAAAAAAAACATTTTTTAATTAAAAAAAAAAACATAATTTAACCCCTTCTCACTCCACAGTTTGAGTTCAGGCTTAAAAATGATATGATATATGTATTTGATATCACATCAAGACAAAAAGATTTAATGTGAGCTGTATTTTATTAAGTATTAACATTGGGATGGTGTCAGTTAAAGGGATTCACCCAACTGACAAGTTCACCCAAAAATAAAAAATTACTCATTTTATTCTATTTATTTCTCCTGTTGGAATACAAAACCTGGTTCCTTGGACCCATTGAATTCTATTCTATTCTATTCTATTCTATTCTATTCTATTCTATTCTATTCTATTCTATTCTATTCTATTCTATTCTATTCATTTATGTCACATCAGCAGGATCGGCTATATTAATTAAAAAACCTACTGGTATACTAAATAAACAATTAACATGCAATCATATCGGTTCTTTATAAACATTCATTATCCAAAAACACATACAAACAATAACACTGAAAAGAGTAATATACAATCTTTTAATTTGATTAATGATAAATGATTAAAAAAAGCTCCAGAAGACATCTTTTTGAACATTTCCCTTTAAATATTTCCTGAATAAAAACACTCATTGAATTCCACAGTAGGAAAAAAAATATTATGGACGTCAATGGGTGACAGCATTTTTCAAAATATCTGCTTTTGTGTTGAACAGAAAAAAGAAACTCAAATAGGAAAGTAAAGGGTGACAAATGATGACAGAATTTTCATTTTTGGGTGAACTATCCCTTCAAGAGGTTTAACAGCACCGCTTTTTTTCTTATCTGTTAACGTTGGAGTGAAAATATGATCCTGCTCACCTCTCGTCCTGTGAGAATGTGCCGTGCCAATTTGACCTTGGCAAAGTTGCCCTTGCCGATGGTTTTGAGGAGCCGGTAGTTGCCGATATGTGGCTGCTCATCGGCACAAGAGGCAATGGAGTTTCGACAGCGAGCGCCCGACCGCCCAGGACGAGATGCCACTTCATTACGCCCATCTGTGTGTGATGTGTGCTGGAGATGCAAAGGAGAATAAACAAAAGAGAATGAGTAAACACAAATTCATGTTCACAGGTTGGGAAGAAATCAATTATTTTTTTTCCAACAAAAGATGCATTTCATTTACGCCTGCATGTTGTTTGAAAAATCTGACATTTCGATATTTTGTTTTGCTAAGATAAATATTGTGATATAAATAAAATTTCACCAGATAAATTGAATTAATTCCTCTATTTGGAAAGATTTCATTCATTCAGATTGACTGGGGTGATAAAGTCTTTTTCCATCATAAAATAAATTACAAGCATATATAAATATGACAGAGCAAAAATAAAAGCTAAATAAACAGTGCTTTATGGCAAGTCCAAGTCCATTAATGTATCAAAATTGAACAAGATCAACCATAAAAAGTAGTCATCATTATAAAAATAATTTTTAATGTTATCTTTATCTTTTAATCTTTAATAAACAATCTCTTGCGGATCACACAATGCTCAAACCATATACTCATTCATTCAGGGCCGGAGTGGGACTCTTTTTCAGCCCTGGAGTTTCAAGCCTTAGACCGGCCCACCTCAGTCCACGACTGACTATATTAAAATAAGGTCATTTCCAAATCAGTTTCTAATTACACTATCACGGCTTTTTTTTTTTTTTTTTTTTTTGAGAAAACAGCTGCTTTAGAACTTTAAATGTTCAAAAACCCTAACAGTATTATATGTCTTAACAATAAAACTATAATTAAAAAAAAAAAAAAAACATACTCAGACAAGTATCAAACCCGGGTCGGCGGCGTCGTAATCTAACGTGCTAACCACTGGACCACAACAGTTGTATGTGTAAGACTGACTCATCTGACTAATATCATCATTAACCTGTAGGCTGGTTATCTATAAAAAGAGCAGAGCTGCGGTAAAATAATGAATAAGAAGACTGTAGTCAAGTTAAGTAAATAAATTAATTTAAAAAGTGTGACTGCTGAGAGCAACAGATTCTGGAGCCAGGGACACCGGCCCTCGCGGCCAAAAAACGGACCGGCCCACCGGGAATTCTCCCGGTCCTCCCGATTAGCCAATCCGGGCCTGCATTCATTCGTTTTCCTTCGACTTAGTCCCTTATTTATCAGGGGCTGGCAAAGTGAAATGAACCACCAACTATTCCAGCATATGTTTTTACGCAGCGGATGCCCTTACAGCCCCAACCCAGTACTGGGAAATACCCATACACACTCTCAATCACACACATACACTATAGGGCCAATTTTGTTTACTTAATTCACCTATAGCGGATGTCTTTGGACTATACGGGAAACCGAAGCAGCCGGAAAAAAAACAATGCGAACAAGGGGAGAACATGCAAACTCAAACAATATATTGTTCAGCCCTAATTAAATTAATTAAAATAAGATTTGTATAAAGGTTTAAAGTATTTGCATTTGAATAAATGAAGTCTTTTAAAATTCGTATTGATTGAAAATTTGAAAGTAAATATACTTAAACAAAAATCCTGAAAAATGTATACCACAACAATAAACAGTACACCTAATTTCAGCATTTCAGCACTGATAATAATATTAATAATTATTTCTTGAAGCATGTGACACTGAAAACTGATTCTGTGACAATTCTGTAAGTTCAGCACTGACATCAAGAATAAATCATATTTTGACAGATATAAAAAAATAAAAATCTAAATAATAACATTTCTTATATATTTTCAAAATACAGTTGACAGCAAAATTATAAGTCCTCCTATGAAATTTATATTAATTTTGTAAGTATTTACCATGTGATGTTTAATGGCGCAAGGAAATTTTCACTATAATTCCTATATATTTTTTTTATTTTGGAAAAAAGTTGTTTCTTTCTTTCTTTCTTTCTTTCTTTCTTTCTTTTAAGGTCAATTATAATATCCCCCTTAAGTAATTATTATTTTTTTGATTGGCTACAGAATAGACCAATGTTGTCCAATGATTTTCCTAATTAACTGAAATTGCCTATTTAACCTAATTAAACTAGCTAAGCCACTTCAAGCTCAATAATATTATCTTATATTAAATAAAATAATAGAAAATACTATATACGGTCAACATGGGAAAGACAATAGTTTATGGAAAATAGTTTTAAAAATGTGTTGGAGAAAAAATAATCTCTCCATTAATCAACACATGGAAAATATTTAAAAACTAACTAAAATGTAAACGTAATAATTTTTCCTATAAATTTAATACAGGGTGCGAATAATAGATTGACGATCGGGATGGGGGGTGTCAACTTTTTTGGTAATGTTAGCATGTGTAATATATTTAATAATAAAAGGTTTTCAGTGTTTTGATGGATATTTAGTATTCATAACCTCTGATTAGCTATTTCAGAGATTACTGTAAGTCAAACTACAAACTGTGTCTAATTTTTACTTTTCTTTTAGACTGTTTGAAGATACAAACACCTGTTTTACCAGAGAGGTGTCTTGTGAACACAATGTCTATCGGTGCTTTAGATCAGCAGGTTTCAGACAGCTGAATGCAGGGCCGAAGTGGGACTCATTTTCAGCCCTGGAGTTTCAAGCCAGACCGGCCCACCTCAGTTCACGACTGATTCCAATTCAGTTTCTAATTTCACTATCACGTCTTTTTCAAGAAAACAGCTGCTTTAGAAATTCAAATGTTCAACAGCCCTAACAGTATTATATGTCTTTACAATAAAAATGAAAAAAAAATCAATAATATTTTACAGGTCTCGATCACAGGTCCGCGGCGTTGAAACGCATCGTGCTTACCACTGGTCCACAATGGTGCAATAACTGTGGCAATAAAAAATAAGTAATGACTTGTAACCCTTAAGACACAGCACTACTTTCTTTTGAAGGCTCAATCTTTTTCTCCCCTTTTTAGATTTCTGATCAAGTCAGATTTATTAATGTAGTGAATCATTTGATTTTCATTGAGCAGGTGCATTATTCATTAATATCAATTATTCGAATTCTTATACTCACTAAGGTGCCGCTGTTTGGGGTTGATAGTAACATTACATCATCATCATTAACAATAGTTAACCTGCAGGCTGCATTTTGCTCACGGGGCTGCGAGAAAATCAATAAAAAGAGCGGCGCTGCAGCAAAATAATGAATAAAAAGAGTAAAGCTATGATCAAATAAACAAATAGATGAAAAAAGTGTGACTGCTGAGAGAGTGCAAGCAGCTAGGGACGCCGGCCCTCACGGCCAAAAAACAGATCGGCCCACCAGGAATTTTCCCGGTGCTCCCGATTAGCCAATCAGGGCCTGGCTGAATGGTATGAACCGTTAAAGGGGTGGTCAAATGTATGGCATGCATTTTATTATTATATTTATTAATATAATTAATTAAAAAACAGATCAGAGATAACTATTTCTCATTATTAAAGGGCTGACACCCCCATACACCTTTTTTGATGTCTTTCAGGAGGATCAAGCGTTAATTATGGTGGGGGTCAATCCCCCCCAAACCCCACTGTAATTTGCACCCTGACTGTACTGTATATTTCTGATCAAATAAATGCAGGCTTGGTGAACATTTGAGACAACATTTCAAAAATGGTACTAAAGCCGCTTTGATGTCTCCAAGCATCCTATATATCAGTGTTTCTCAACCACGTTCCTGGAGGACCACCAAAACTGCATGTATTGGACGTCTCCTTTGTCTGTCACACCTATTACAGGTCTCTCAGTCTCTGCTAATGAGCTGATTATCTGAATCAGGTGTGTTTGGTTAAGGAGACAGGGAAAATGTGCAGAACTGGTGCTCCTCCAGGAACGTGGATGAGAAACAAAGCTGTATATCCATTTATGTGAATGCAACATTTGAAATCGATTGAAATGGTCAGAACATGTCAGAAAAGTCTAATCGTTTTGGAGCTTTCTGTATGGCATGTTTCATGTGTTAGCCTGACAGCCATAAAATAAGAGGCAAACAAAAACATAGGGAACGTCAAACGCTGTTTGCATGAAGATATTTGAACCTGACAACCTCAAAGAGGAGCTTCACCGCGGGGAAATATCTTCATTTCCTCTCTGCAAGGATATATATCTGTGAACCGAGCCAGTCAAAGAGCTTTGGTCTACATCTGTCTGTGCTACAGTTATGTGGTGCCTTTAAAAATCTCCCCACATAGGAAGGGAGACATGTAAATAATGTAATCTGGACGAACTGTCAGACGGTTTCCTAGATTTCAGCTTCGACTTCCTCTTTCGCTGAACAAAATACTAGAGCCGCATCCTTTTAAAAAACTGAGAGAAGTGCTTTTAATAACTGATAGTTGCTTTCTGCTTTGAAAGTATAATCAGACAGTCATATACAATTACAAACAAAGTCCTTTTCAAGACTAGGCAACACTGCTTAATCACCATTAAAGGGCCACATATATTTTACTGTTCCTGATTTTATTTTGCAAACTTGCAGAAAAGTAAACCATATAAAGACAGATGTAGCTGAGGAAAATGTATCAGATTACAAATCATAAACTGTTACATTGATTTGTGGTGTTTATTTGGTGTTGTGCAAAGAACTGCACAAAATAATCATTTTGCTTTATATCTTAAGGAAGAAAGAAGATAAATAATACTAACAAAAAATACAATAACATCAGAACTTAAATGAACAATTGACTGGTCACATATACAATTGAAGTCAGAATTATTAACGCCCCTGAATTATTAGCCCCCTATTTTATTTCTGTTCAACACATTTCTAAACATTATAGTTTTAATAACTCATTTTTGATAGCCGATTTATTTCATCTGCCATGATGACAGTAAGTAATATTTTACAAGATGTTTTGCAAGACACTTCTATACAGTTTAAATGGACATTTAAAGGCTTAACTAGGTAAATTAGGTTAACTTGGCAGGTTAGGGTGATTTATATGTTTGCGTCAAGCACACACTTACACCTGCGTGAGCAGCGTGTGTGTTTTCGGCGTCCATGTTAACAGATTAGAGCTTTCATACCGCACGCAGCAACAGCGCGTCAGAGCAAG